GCCGGAGCCGCGCGCGCCTCCTCACCTGCTCGCGCCGCGTCCCCCCCCCAACAGCACCGGACTCCTCTGAAGCTCACTCGGGCTGCACAGCCGCCAAGAAAGCCGCCTCTCATTGGCCAAAACGTGGGAGCCTCCCTCAGTAAAATCGCCGCCGATTGGAGCTGGCGACAGCACGGCCGCCGCACCGCACGCGGGACATGTTGACTATCCGACGGAGCGGCGCTCGGCCAATCAGCGGGAAAGCGCGGAGGCGGAGGGGGGGAGGGCGGCGCGCGCTGGCAGAGGCGTGCGCGGGGCTGGCGGCGCGCGGGGCGAGCGCGTGATGGCGGAGGGGGAGGGGGGGTCGTGGTTGTAACCTTAAAGCGGCAGCGAGCGCGTGCGGAGGAGGAGGAGGGGGCAAGATGGCGGCGGGCATCGCCTGCGGGCCGGCGGGAAAAGGCCCTCCGCGGGGTCCTGCTCTTGAAGGAGGGCCCGGTGCGCCGCTCCGGCGTCTTCTCAGCGCCTCGGGCTGCGGTTGCAGAGTTCCATTATAAGTATTGGTAATGGGCTCATGGTGTAAAAACCTCTCTGCGTGTTATCAGATTTTGGAGTTAGAAGTTAGGTGAATCAAAACGCGGAGCGCTTCCTAATAATTAAGTTTAGTATGTCTTGGTAAAAATGAATTTGATCTCTTTGGGACTGATAATTAAACCTTGAAGCAGGCCGGAGTGCTAGAAATCTTTCGTGTGTTTGTACATCACCTTCCATCAGGGCCACAAAGCATCCATCTCCTGTGAGCAGGGGTTTGTGCTGACTGCTGTGCCTTGGTGGTAGGCGCTAAGAAGACTGTGGGTGAGGCACAATCTGTGGAGTCATCTTGCTGTCTGTCAGGTGCTCCTGCCCTGCAGAGAGCTGCAAAAAGATATTTGCTGAATCACCCTGGCTTGATTTAACACGCAGTCTAGCATAAGGAGAGCTTGGAGAACCTACACTGAGCACTACAATGTCAGCCTCTCCTGCCCTTGGGTGGGAATTAATGGAAACTGCTTTTGCTTAGTGACGTTCACAACCCAATTGGAGAGATAAGACTAAGTTTGTCAACCATTTTTTAGGAAGAGCTTTGATCGCTGTCAAGTGAAGCCTTAATAATGGCTAATGTGCTTCTTAATTAATTTATCTCAAGGGATGAGTACTATGCATGTGGTACTGGGATCCTGCATAGAAATTGCCCTGTGAAATCACCAAGAGGAGTAAAAATTCCTCTCCGCATCTGTGTAGTAGGAATTTCTCAATCAAAGTAAGAAATAAAGTTGGTCTGAAGCCACCTTGAGATGTATAAGTATAGCTTAAAATGTAAGAAAAGAATCTGAAGGGATACATGCAGCAGACATTTCCTTATTCACATGGTGATTTCCTGGAGCAGTGAAAAGCAAATACAAACATTAGGGTAAAAAGATCAAAGAGAGAAACTTAAATGTAATTAAGTTACACTTAAGGCACTCGTTAGTTTAAAGTCTTGGTAAAGACCGGTGGCAACCAAACTAGATAGAAAGGTCAATGAATTGTTCCACCAGTATCTGAACAAACTGAGTGATGGAGGAACTTGCTCCTCTTAGTGCGGCAGTATTCACATTTGGCATTGATGTAAATATTCAAGATAGAAAGGCCAAAAAGCATATTGTGAGCAAAAGTCAGAAACAAAATTTCCTGCTGCCAAGCTTGGCCTTTTGCCAAGAGTGCAATTAAAAACACCACCTTGCCTTGCCATCTCCGAATAAATTCTTTGACGTGTAGGGAATACAAAGCTCCGCACTGTGCAGACCAACACGAGCTGTATGTTCTAGAAAGTGCTTTAAAAAAAAAAAAAAATCCAAAACTTTGCTATTGGGATTTTTGTTTTCCCAGCACTTAGAAAAGAATATGCCGTATTGCTTCACCAAGTGTGTGGGTAGGCATACATGTACGCTTTAAAACAAAAAACCAAAATACCCTGGAATCTGTCCTTTCCCTTTCCTTGGCTGAGACAGGTGACCAGGACAATGAATGCAGACTATTCTGTTGCATTCTCCTGGTTGCCAAGTCACCCTCGCTAAGGAACTGCAATGGAATTTGCTTAAGTGACACCTTGATAGATTGCCAGGGAAAAGGAGTTGTGCTGTGCGTTTTAGCGATTGCATGGATCAATCTGCACACCTATGCTGAAAAGGTTGTCTTAATGGGCACATATCTTAGCCTGGAGGATTCTTTGCTAACAAGCTTTCCTTCAGCTTGCTGTTATTTCTCTCTATATTGTGGCTGCAGAGATAAAGTAACTGATATGGAATTTGATTTTTTGGTTGCAAATTCTTAAGTCTGTTTTTCTGACTCCTAGCCAAGGTCGTTGTGTTTATTATCTTGCTGCTTTTGGAGAAAGGAACTCTGTATTTGTGCAAAGCTCTCATTTTCTTTGGAGAGAATGAAGTCATCTCCTGTTTGTGTAGTAAGATAAAATATTTTAGCAGCTTCTTTACAGAACAAGTTGCCAATTTGTGTGGTTTTTTTTCTTGAAAAATAGAAAATCTCTATGAAGCAGATATTTTCCTTGCTGATAATGCTGACTTTCCAAGGGCAGCTGAAACATAGAAGAAAGAGAAAAAATCCTAAATGGACCAAAGATTTGTGTATGAGAAGAAGAGTTTGAGTATTTGAAGATTTTGAGGGCTTTACTGAAAAGAAAAAGGCAATTTTGAAAAGAACTAGATGGCAAAACACTACACAAAGCAGGGAGGGCAAGCAGCTATGTGGAAGAACAAGCAAACTGAAGGTGAAGGAAACTGAAGGTGAGCCCAAAGAGGAGAGGATTTCAAAGTCTCTGATTCTTGTAATATCTGTGAGAAGAATCCCATTGATTTTAAGAGACTTGATTTTGTACAGAGATGATTCCAAGACAGGAATGCTGTTTCTCCTGTGCCAGAAAATAAGGATGACTTCAGCAGCACTGATATTTCAGATAAACTGAGGGGACTGGAAAGAATCTTTAAGACAACAATCAAAAATCAAAACACAAGAAACACATAAGCTAAATACTGTTACAGTCAGAGTAAAATCTTAATGAGGCAATAAATGCAGCAGAGACCCTTATTTGAGCTGTGGGGACATGAGTAACTGGATTAAAAAAATCCAGGAAGGAAGCACTGCGTGCATGTGGGAAGAAAGAAAACAGAATTTTCAGAAAATACAAGAAAGAAAACAGAATTTTCAGAAAATACTAAGTCTGAAGTACTCCTAAGTGCAAGGAGGTGACCCAGAAACAAAGTGAAGCAACTGTGAAGGAAAAACAGCATTTAAAATGAATTCTTCTACATTGATGTAGCAGATGAATCATGGAATTGGATGAGATCCTACTATGAACACAGCAGGTAGAGAAAAAAACAGTGAGGGTGGAGGCTGGGATGGTAATAGAGACATCTTAAGAGAGTTAGAGTCCATGGCAGCAGTGGATTAAGGAATTTCCTCTGTGGTCATGTGCTAGGTAGCTTTGATTGTGCTTCTGATGAGCAAGTGCTAACTCCAATCACCAGAAAGGAATCTCTGTAAGCAAATTACTGCTACCATTTCACACTGAGTAGCAACATTTCCTGCATTCAGGAAGGCAGCAAAGTGTTCACTGTGGTTTGAGATGATTCAGGGTTAACGCTCCTACTCTAGTTTACAGAAGTAGCCCTGGAATCTGTCTAGGGCTATAAGGAGCTTGAAATCAGAGAAACCTGTACAGCCAAACAGCAGCATCTTGTGCCTGCAAGCCCAGGCACAATCCATCTCTTTATGGATATCCTCAGTGCACAGACACAGGGAGGAAGACAAGGCAGTGCACAAACCAGACCTTACCTTACAAAAATACAGTGGAGCTTGACAAGAAATGGCCTGAAAATATCGAAGGGTTTAAAATGATGTAAAATTCAACTGATCCCCTTTTGTTCACAGAATGAAAGAATGGAGAAATTGCCCTTGTGGCTCTGGCTGGCCTTTTAAATGACCACTTTAACCGTGCATTTATACAATTAATTTGGAATTAGCAGAATACTGAATGCAAAATGTTTTTTTAATTAACTTAGTAACATCACGCTAAAGGAAAACATCTGTGAACCATATTTTAAGGAGATGGCTATTAAATAAAGATAAGCTGTGTTTGTTTTTTTCCCCACTAAACAATGGTCACATACAACTTGTACTTTATAACAGATTTTATTTTCTGTGTACAAGATTCCTGTGCTTTACTGAATTCAACATTAGGTATTTTTTCAAAGGCAAATACAGATAAACCAGAAAAAAAACCAACAAAACTATTGGGCCTTTTTGTTAGTCCAAATATGCTCATCTTGATATCTCAGAAGGTATATATTAAGATAAAGCAAGTATATTTATAACTTTTAATTGAGATAAGGGACATAGCCTAGTGCTGTGTCCAATGCAGGTATATTTGCCTTGTACTTACCCACTTGTCTGCAATTGCAGGTTAAACAAAGATGATGATCTGTTCCCTTTTGCAACAAAGAGACTGTTAGCTTCTACTGTGCAAAGTGTTCTGGGTATACCTATCTATTATGAAGGTTTTTAATAACAGCAGCTGAAGTATCATAGTGGAAACTACCCAGTTTTTCCTGCTTATGTAAACTCACTAAAATCATCTGGAAAATACTTTCTTAGCGTGGGACAAATTGCTCAGCTTCCATTTAGTAGTAAGTTTTGCTGACTGTGACATATTTGAGAACATAAGCTACAAGTGGGTATTAGAGATAGGTTTGCAGGACAAATTAACCAAACTCTGGACACCCATATTAAGCAAGAATCCCCATGTGGATTTGCTGACTGAGCAGAACCTTCTCAAACAGGGCTGGCATCTGTTTAACCTGTTGCTACTGTTGTGAGGAAACTTCTTAGAGGATTTTTCTGTTTTTTTTTTAATGAATGGATATTTATTGGCTTTCCAGATGACATTGCTAGTCCTCATAAACAGGATGTTTACTTTGCACATAATAGAAAGTGTAAACAGAAATACGAGCATCAGTATATGCTCACTTCTTCAATGGTGATCCAACTCCTGCCTTCTAAAACACAGTCCCGTTGTTGTCAATTTGCACTTCCATTCTGCACCATTTGTAGATATTCCTTGTATAGTTTTTCTTGGGTCTCATAAAGTTTCTTTAGCTTCTTAATTTGTCCTTTGCTGAGTTCTTTGCCTTCTGTATCATGTGTGGGAAATCCCTAAAATATTAATAAAAAAAAAAGAATATTTTGGATGAATTTTGGACTGCTTTTGTTCCTTAGAGAATTCTGTTCTCTTTGTCTGACGTAGGAGGATAATGTCAATTAATGACAAACTGTCAGAATGAGGTGCATTTTGGTTAATTTAGTCTACTTGTATACGTTCCCTTTCAAGTTAATGAAGGGACAGAGGGTGACATTTGTTTTCTGGTCTCTACTAAGTAAGGGAAGCATAAACTAATTTCTAGATGTTTATAGTTAAGAGAATAATAGCTCACCTATAAACAGATGGTTAAAAGACCATTTTTAATGATACTAGTATATCAATCCCAAGGCTTAAAACAAAAGTCCTAAGAGTTTTCTGTACTTGATGGAGAAAATGCATTCAGTTTTTACAAATCTTCTGCCAGGCTTATGTGCATATTTTCCTGTGCTTTCATTCTTTATTCTTACTTATCCCGAGGGCCTGAGTTTGAATGGGTGAAAAGGACGGGCAGAAATAGGATCAAACACTGAAGAAACAGTGCTTTGTTTTCCAAATAATGGCTTTTATTCTCACAGGAGCAACCAGAGCCAAGTTACCAGTACAGCTCCTTATCACAGGATGGAGGAGGGGAGCAGAATAGTGTCTATTTCCATCAGTTGGGATGGATGGTGAGTTTGTACCAGTGTAGTCCTTGCCTCGAAACAAGGTGACAGATCTGTAAACTAATGCATGTTCCTAGGCACAGATCTGCAGAGTGTTGCTTTGTAATGGAAGGGCCAAAGGGGATCCACGTGCAATGAAAAAACCCATGAGATGATTAACAGTTTGACAGTATTGCTCCACAGTGCAAGGTATGTGCAAGTCAATTAATACATTGCTTTCTTTTTTCTCTCCTTCCCTCCCTCTCCTACATTAATAACGCTGCCCTTGCGGTTCTGGAACAAGATCAGCTTTGTAGACATATAATCAAATATGTATGGAGGGGGAAGGAAAACCACTCCGTGTTTAAAGATAAGTTTCTTACATTTTCATCAAACTTGGAATATTTGTCATGTTCCGATTTAAACATTTCATGGGGTGGAATCTTCATTTTTGCCAGTTTTGCTGCCTGTAATACAAAGCATGATTAACTGCATTAGCATCATAAATAATTACTGACAACCTATCTTTTTAAAAAGCCATTCCTGAACGCGTGCAAATGGAAAAGTAGATCATAATTTGCAAATCAAAGAACATTTAATTCACAATTGTTTATTCTGAGAAAAGCAACTTTCAGTGAGGAACAACTCAATAAATCTTAGCTGTGTTTGTCCAGGAAAATAAAAATAAGTTGGTATCTTACATTTGCAGAGAACTGCTTAATAAAATGGTTGTATTGCAGGAACCTGAAACAACTCTAAACATGCTCTAAAAACAACATCTGTTTTCTGCTTATTTGGTTCCTTAGTGTTTTAAGTGTAAACATAAAATAAATATTGCTATTCGTAAAGAATGTTTAGCAAGGATCTCCTGCAAAGGGAACCTTTATCAACAGTTTCCTGCTGGCAAGAAGATGTTTCTAAGCAGGTCACAGCAGGATCAGGATGCAAGTAATTGCACTGAAAATAAAAGCAAATTCTATTATTTGTGAATTAACACATCTCAGACATGTTTCCAACTAATTTACTCCAATGCAAGGGAATCAATTCTCCAAAAGAATGAAATGAGTTGCTCAGAATTTGTGGTCAATAAATGCTATTTGATTTTTACTTTTTTCTGACAGTGGTGCTCTTTAAAAGTTTACTTCCTCTTTTAACCAGAAATGTTTTTCCTGCACTGTCATCAGTACAGCAAACAATCTTTTCCTCTTACAAGTTCACCTATGCTGAACTCCTCACCTGAATTCTAAAACTTCAGAGCTATCAGTATTAAATGTGCTTTTACAAAATGCTACATCTCAGACACAGTTCAGGCACAGACAGCAGGGAGACACTTGAAAAAATGCCTGTTTTCATATATGCCAGTGACAATGGAAAGGGAAAAAGCATAAGCAAAACATTCTCTAACAGAAACGTAAGGTACTGCTTTGGTAATTAAGGAAGTAATACTGTCTACAGACTGAAATACATGCTATAAGGTGTGAGAAATTTCTGCAGTCTTCAGTCTTGTTTTCAAAGATGGCTGCTCTATCAAAGGAGCCATCAAGGAGATGAATATTCAAATATAAATTGCAAGCCATATCAATTTTGAGCAGGAAAGCATAGAAAAGTAAAGAAATGGAGGCCCAGTTAAGGCTGGGCAAAGAGCCTATGTTCTAATACAGTCTTTCTTGCATGTAACTATTGCTGTTGGAAGTCTTCTTCAAAACCAGATTCTTTTAATCTGAACACTTACTTCCTGCTCTTGTTTTTTTCTGGCTGCTTCTTCTTTCTTCCTTTTTTTCTCTTCTTCAATCTGTGAAAGGCAGTGTTAATGAGTAAAAGGTAACTGCTTCATTTGGTTGATTTCTATAAAATCTGAGCCAGCTAGCTCCCCTGGATATCTAATTACAGACAGATCTGGCAGCATAACCTACAGCAAAAACACTGTGCCTTGTAATTAGGATTGTCTGGTACTTCTCACTGTAGGACTTTGATTTCGTTTGTTTTTAATCTCAGCTGAACTGGTTTTAACTGTTCAGAATGCATTTTGCATGTGAAGTGCATGCTTATGAAAAAAATACCTAAAAAACCTGCAAAATAAACAGTCCTGCCATTTCACAGGGAAAACCATTTTGCAAATGACTTTTAAAAGACCACATTTCCTTGATATTTTAAGTTCTTGCATCAAACTGCTGTATCAATTAAAATTTACTCAGTGCATTTTGTTTCCATGTAGCAAATAAATACAGTCTGGTTCAATTGAATACGTCACCTTCATTTGTACAGATGAAAGAAGTCAGAATCAGTTTCTCATTGAAATGATTATTTCAGAGAGATAAGACAGCAGGAATGCAACATTCAACATCCCTTAATTATACCAAGATTTATAAACAAACAAAAACCAAAATTTAGATACATCCATGCAGAATTCTCTAGCAGCTGCTGTTTTAAGAATCCTTTTCTTGATTCTTGAACTATGATTTCAGTATCCATTTTAGTATATAATTTTCTAAGTCACTAGGCTTACAAATTATCAGGAAATGTAAAGGTACGCATAGTTTATATATTACTTTAAATGTAAAAAAGATACAGAATGCTTTAAATAATAACCTTTTTCTTTTCTTCTCTTTCTCTCAATAATGTGTCTTTATCCACTAGTTTAACCACAGTTGGAAGTCCTGAAGAAGCAAAAGCAGATAAATGATTTTCCAATGCTTGAATAGTCAAAAATAAAAGTATTTACCCTGCAATAACTTTTTTTTCAAGCTGAATGCAATTACAACTGAATGACTACTTAAAAATGACTAAGCAATTAGATACTATAGAAACAACATTGTGTTGTACATTTTTATTCTATGTATATTCTAAAATGCATTCATACAATATATCTGCACATTAGAAATCCGTTAAGCTACCAGTTTGCAGTACTTGAGTATGCTGGATTATTCTATGCTAGTACTGACAGCTTGTTTCCCCACATCTTCAGAAAACAACAAAGTAAGAACAGCTATTACAAAGCTGCAAGACACTACATGGGGTACCTTCATGATCTTCAAATCGAACGCCAAGTTCAGGAAGGATGTCATCTCGAAGAGCATCGCTCAACTGCAGCACTTCAGTGACTGTGGAGTATGAAAAACACTTTTGCTGAACTATGATTTGGTGGAAGTGCACATCTATCCTCATACATACTTATTTAACTGCAATTAAGAAATTGCCACTCTCTCACACAGGCCACAGAAGGGCCTTTTGTATTAAAGCAAGGAGTGTTTTAAAGTAATTTCTCTCTTCTTTTAGCTACAGAAAGCACGTTTCTGCAAGGACTCTGAATTCATAAATTCCTTCCAAGATACCCCTATTAGTCCTGAAAATTGTCATGAGAGTTTCAGTTCAGCACCATAAAAAAATTTTTAAAATGAATTTATACATCTGTGCTATTAATTCCATCTCACCACTTTTAGGATGGAAAAAAGTTGCACTGTTGGAATAGAATAGATTCATGTAAGGAGGAATATGGAAATTTCTGAACTGGAGTGGACCTGCAGTTCATTAATCCTGCAACCCGACGCTGCACATTCTTTGCAGTGTACGTTTAACAATCCATGCAAAATACTTAGACTGTGTTATAACTCCAGTTATTTTTAATACCCACATGAAACGTATAGCATACTCATTAAATTCTATTCAGTTCTGATTTCTTTTATGTCAATTTTTGGGTTAAGAAACATCATTTTCATGTTCTACATTTCACCAAATGCCCCTTCTGCCTTGTGTTAGAAGACAGAACCTTACTTCCACAACATTCATCATAACCGTATTTCCTTTTCAAACGAGTTTTCTCCTTATTTTCCTTATTCAAACTCATCAACATAATGTGTTTCCTCACTTCACAAGACAGGAAAGCTGTCTTCAGAGATAAAGTAGTGGAGTAGAGTTGGCAGCTCTTTGAGAACACCTTTCACAAAGCTCTCTGTTCCCTAGCACAAGAACTCAAGCAGAGGAGGCAGAAAACCAACATGGTTGAGCAAGGACCTGCTGATCAAACTGAGGGAAAAGGAAGAAAAAGAAAAAAAAAAAAAAAAAAAGGGATCCATTCATACAGTCAATGAAAGCAGGGATGGGTGGTCTGGGAAGATATAGAGATGCCATCCAGATGTGCAAGGATGGGATCGGGGAAGCTAAGATGCAGACAGAACTAAACTTAATGAAGAATGTGAAAAATACCACGGGGTTCTGCAGGTACTTCGGCAAGAAGAGAAAGGCCAAGGAGAGTGCATACTGTCTGATGGGAAGGGAGAACTGGCTTCAGTAGACATGGGGAAGGCTGAGACACTCAACAAGTTCTTTGCCTCAGTCTTTACAGGCAGTCAGGCTTCCCACGTCCCTCACGTACCCAAACTTTTAGGCGGGGGTTTGGGCAGAGGAGTCTCTTCTGCTGCAAGAACAGAGCGTGTCCAAGACTGCCTTGTGAGGCTGAATGTATAGAAGTAATGTATAGAAGTCTATGGGGTCCAATGATGAGCATTCCAGGGTCCTGAAGGAACTGGCTGATGTGACTGCCAAGTCACTCTCCAATGTGCTTGAAAAGTTGTGGCTGTCAGGAAAGTTCCCAATGATTTGGAAAAGGGAAACATCACTCCTATTTTTAAGAAAGGCAGAAACGAAGTCCCAGAGAACTACAGGCCAGTGAGCCTCACTTCCGTGCCTGGGAAGAACACAGAGCAGCTCCTCCTGGAAGTTGTATGAAGGCACATGCAGGACAAGAATGTCATCCAAGACAGCCAGCACGGCCTCACCAAGAGCAGACTGACCAACCCATCACACAGCGACAGCATCAGTGGACAAAGGGCAACTGATGTTATCTACCTGGACTTCTGCAAGGCCTTGCACGTGATCTCACACCAAATCCTTATCTCTAAATTGAAGAGATACAGATATGAAGAGCAGACTATTCAACGGATAAATTAATTGGTTGGATGGTCTCAGCAGTTCTACGTTCAGGCGGAGGCCAATCACAAGTGGTGTCCCCCAGGGGTCTGTCTTGGGACTGGTGCCCTTCAACATCTTTATCAACGACCTAGACAGTGTGAGCGACTACCTCGAGCAAGTTTGGTGATGACACTAAGCTGAGTGCTGCAGTTGATACAACAGAAGGAAGGGATGCTGTTCAGAGGGACCTGAACAGGCTTGAAAAGTGGACCCATGTGAACCTAATGAGGTTCAACAAGGCCAGGTACAAGGAGTTGTACTTGAGTCACAGCAACCCTAGGTATGTATACAATACTGCGGGAAGAACTTATTGAGAACAGCCACGCAGAGGAGAAGAAGAGGAGGGATACCAACATTTTACAATTTTGATAGAGCAGAGACAAGAAGGAAAAAGTTTTAAACTAAAAGAGGGGAGACTTACATTAAATGTCAGCAAAATTTTTCAAGCAGAGTGTGGTGAGGCACTGGCACAGGCTGCTCAGAGAAGCTGTGGATGCCTCACCCCTGTGTTCAAGGCTGAGTTGGATGGAGCCCGGGTCAGCCTGATCTAGTGGGTGGCAATTCCGCCCACAGCAGGAGAGGTGGAAATAGATGGTCTTTAAGGTGTCTTCCAACTCAAGCCATTCCATCATTCTTTGGTAAGGTTTATGATAAGAAGTTGAGTTATGATTAATGTACAGCATGTAGAAATGCATCAATAATATACACATATGAATTAGAAAAACAAAATGCAGGAAATAGAAAGCTGTTTCTGCGACAGAAGGCCAACATAAATACCAAGCAAATGAAGCTGTTTATCTTATCCTGCTGTTTAATATGTTTATTACATAAAAGCCTCTCAAATCACCAATTAGACAGCAGGATCCCCTGGGTATGCAACAAATAAACCCTGCAAAGTTTGCCATAAATCTCAGTCACATGACACATATGATGAAGGAAACAAATACAAAGCTGAGAAATAAAAGGAAGGCAGCTATCCTTTGTTGTAAAAGCCTGTTTTCATTAAGGATGAATAAATATGCTGACTTCACAGGGAAACTAATGTGATGGACTTCAAAGAATCAAAATAAAGATAACTCAGTTTATTCACTTTAACTCTGCCATAAGAAAACCAGTCACTCTATCAGATGTACAGTAAGTACCTCTAAAATCTGTTCCTAAGGAGTTTAGTTACTACTGCAAAGGGCAACTTTGCAGGTAGGACTGACCACGTTAAGAGTTTTGGCTTGCAGATAAGGTGCATGCAAAACTGCAGAAGTTGGGCTAATGACAGTAAAAAGGACTACACGAGGCTCAGCTCCTTACCTGCTTATTTGCTCAAACACTTTGTAGAAATAACCCTCCTGATCTGGATAAACAAAAATCTCAACCCCCTAAAGACTGTCTCATGTCTCAGCAGCACTTATCAGTAAACAGTGACCAAAGGCACTGAGAAAGGAACTTATTTATAAGTAATGTGACGAAGACAGGCAAGAAAGGGAGGAGAAAGAAAATCCAAGCCAATTCAGGAATGATGCAACAGTTCTTCCAGGTTATAATGGATGGGTTAAGACACAGAGAACACACAACATGTCAATGGTTACTGCAGGATTTCCGGTAAGAAGGGCTAGGAAACCTCTTCTAAAAAACTCACAAATGAATGTAACCTCGGCTACATCTAACAGCGACTCTGAAAGACAATTATTTTATTGTTTTGATAACTATCCATGTAGTCATCGAGGCGACTGTAATCCAAACATCCTCTGGTTCTGCAGATAGCTATTTCCTCTCATGTTTCCTCTTATCACCTGTTTTGACCTGTTTTGGTGGTGGTGGTGTTGTTTTTTGTTTTTTTTTTTTTTTTAAGCAAACCAGTTGCAGCAGAACAGAGAGCTTCAATTCAGGTTTCTGGATGGAGACCAGGACACTACGATTAACTCTTTTCTTTTCTCTTCTTTTCAAGTTATTAAAGGGCCTTTAATAATTGTGAAGAACTGAAGATCTAGCTGAAGTAGTTGCTACTAAAAAGTCAAGTCTTCTGAGGAAAATATAGGTTAAGTGCAACATTTACTCATTGTATCAGCTGAGAAGCAGCAACATAGTTAGAAGGAACTGAAGTTGCTGTTGGGAACACCATTCAGTTCTGTTTTATGATACACACTCTTGTATTCAAGAAGAAAGTTACAAATTAAGCAGATAGATTATAGTTAAGTGTTCTCCCTTCAAGCAACACTGAGACGGTTGAAGAAATAACAAGGGTTCATTCCTGCAGTAAGAACTACCACCCACTAAAAGCCACAACCCACTCACTGGATTTTCACACTGCATATTTCAGTAGAATCTCCTGGCCTTCGCCTTTATCTCTTGCGTAGTTCTAAGCCTCAGAGAGCTGAACATTGGACTGAGCACCACCTATTCCAATATCACAGAATGGAACAGCTGCCCTGTTACCCCCATTGCATGGCAGCATTCTTTGCTGGGGAAATCAGCAGAGCGACTCCGTGGGGGGGAAAACATTGCATTTTATAGGAGCTGTTTAGTCTGCCATGAACTGTGTCATTAGTTTTCCTTATCAGGGGCAGTCACACACAGCAAACCACGTTCGTATTTGATGTCACTCTACAGAAGCCTTTAAAATAAACAACGAGATTAACATTTTCTGGTGTTAGCCAGTGAGGTAACTTTGACCTTGCCAAAGAAATTACGTGTGTCATATCAAGAACATATCAGATACCTCTACTGCTAACTCAATAATGTATGCTCAGTTACAATATTTGCATATCTAAAACCATGAATAATTAAAAGAAAGAAGAAATCTATCAAAGAAAAGATTAATGAGAAATGCATACACGAAACATGCACTGTTAATAAAACTTCCATCAATGCTTTTTTATCCAGTGGAGTCAGCACCATGCTTCTTAAGGAAGAGGTGTGCCTGTTCTTTGCATGCAGGGCAAAGAATAGCTAAGGACTCCAGGGCAAAGATAGCTAAGGACTGGGTGAGGGTGTTCGAGGGCTGCACCAAGTCACAGGCTGCTGTATGCACTAAGGGCAGTGATGAGGAAAGCAGTGGGTGCCTACAAACACACCCACAGCTAAGCACTCCTTGAGCATGTGACCATTTCCCTGACCTGTCTTCGTGGGTTTCATCAATTTTAAGCCTATGACTTTTGGATGAGTAACAGATGATGTGCTGCTGTGAGAAAGGAGAAAAAGGAGTTTGAAAAACGCATACGCAGAATACTAGATGTTAAAACCAGCAACAAAAGCAACAGGGAGGCACAGTTTCAATGAACAAATCTGGCTGCAGTTCCAGAGACTTGTGATACATTAGGGAGAGGGCAGAGGGTTTTGCACTGCGTCCTAGAAGCACCTTAAAACGAGATGGCACAAACATCCATGGTAGGAAATGAAAAAGCAGGCAGAGATTAGTCACATATCTTTAAGACCACTCAAGCAGATGTCATGGGGTAAGCAACCAACAGCTACAGAGATTTATTCCTGCCTGAGCAGCAGAATAATGATTCATTATTAATAGGAAATCTCTCCTAGCATCAGAGGCTGCACTAGAGCACAGATCCACTGCGGAGACAAGTATATAGGGGTGTGTGCGACAAGTATGTAGGGGTGTGTGCAGCTGGGCAAGAAAAATCTCAGGGAGCACAAGATAGTGTGGTGATCTGAACAACCAA